GGGGGGGGGCGGGGAGCAGGGGAAAAACAGAGAACGGTAATTATATCACTATCTATATCTTGTCTTTGTATTTCAGGTAAAATATCAGGGGTATAGAAATAGAAAATCCCTACTGTAAGAAGCCAACACCTACTTTCAGTCTGTAGGATTCCAATCATTTAAGAGTATTTTTTTTAATGTTTTTCTAGTTACTGTGTGGACTGTAGAAGAACTAGTAACAGCCAACACTGATGCTTAAAGTGCAGCATCTGTCAACAGTTAGAGAAGGATGTCACTGCAGTCTCAGATATCACTAATAACTCCTAGAAATTGCTCACTTTAAACACATCCTCAGCATCTGAGGTTGATCACAAAATATCATTCTTACTATTACTCACTTTGATCCTGATTTTGTATGTTTCAAAAGGCCGCTATTAAGTAAAATACAACCACAAGAAAAACAGAACTCAGAAACTTAAAAATTTTTTGTCCAGGTGAGATAGAACAAAAACTGGTTCAAGTTTTGCTTGTTGTAAATTCATCTTGAGAATTTCAGACAAATAACCAAGCAGTCAGATCTAGGACTTGCTACTGTTATCAATCCACTCTTGGAACTAAGGCTCTAAATTCAGTGGGCATCTTAAAAGAGTTCTGAAAGTAGCCAGCATATCCTGTGCATTCTAATACTATCCAGTATTTCCTCAACAGAAAAATGAATCAGTTCAAAAGAAAAGCCTTCTTGCCAGGAAACAGCATTAATGTAGCAATTTTAACTTGGGCCATTATTAAAGTCAACTCCTGAAACCAAAAGCAGGTATTTCCAAGGAGAGAATATTTCATTCATATACACAGACATTCTTTACCCTTCCTCATCCCACTCTAAATACTAAACAACAATTATTTTTCAGCTTGGTGCAAACTTAGCAAACACCATCTCCCCTCAGCTGCTAGGTTTAATTTATTTGCACTACGAAAACACTCACAGCACTCTGAGCATGTATGCAGCAGAACAGCACATGTGCATACGTACCCTTTCTCCTGCCAAGCTCCACACTGCTGGTGCAAGATGTGCTCATTGCCCCACATGCTCCCCAGCAGCGCTCAGCTCTGATGCAGACCCGGGTGCAATGTCATAGCCACGCTCTGTCCCTCCAGGAACACAGGATGCCCACAAGTACAAAGCAGAGTGGATCCCACACAGCTTTATGCTGGAGTTGTCCTCACAGGACCCACACTGACAGGTACACTGCATTCACTCTAAAACACGGCTCCTGCCAGACAAGTGCCAGTAGTTGGGTCTGGCACACGTCCCTACCTGTATTCATGCCCACTATGTTCCCCTGACACACTGCATACATACCAAAACCTCTTCTCAAAAAGCCTGATGATTCAGCACGGTGCTGTGCATGCCAGTATTTAAGGAAACCAAGAGAAGAGTGTGTGGCCTGTTGGCCTGTGCTCAATAATATTGTAAGGTGTGGATATAATAGTATTAAAGAACAATAACATACAAAATACAGATTACAGCTGAAAGATCAATCAATAGCAAGTTACTCTGACCTTAAAAGACACTGGGATGGAACATGACCAAATTTAAAGCAAAAATATAATAGTAAAGAATATGAATGAAGAGTCCTTAAAAACGACTATAACTCTTACCAGAAAAAACCCACATGGCTGTTTCAGTATACCAGCTGTCACCATCACCCCTAAGCCTCCTGTTTTATTATGCAGCAAAATATTTCTCAAAAGTCCAGATGCCTACAGCCATCATCAGTCCAGGAAAAGAGGTGCAAGAACCTACCATCACCAAAGATGTGAGTCATGAGCTTTGTGAGCACTTGCTTCAGGTTGAACTCCACCAGCCTCACTGCCTCCATGGTGTGACACTCTTGCTTGTGAGCAGTGCGATGACCTTGCTCAAACAACTGTAAGCCTTCGCCATCTTTAATGCTTGAGAACAACTAGAACAAAACCACAAAAACACAGTGTTTCGCATCAATGACTTTCTAAATGAAAACAGAGAATGAAGTTTTATTGATTTAAGTGGGAACCTTACCTGCTAAGTCTGCATCATGAAATACAAATGTAAAGACTGTGATTTTATACAACTTCTGTTCACTAAACACAGAAAAATCATCATAAGAACAGAAATATTCAATCATTAAGATCTGTTTTATTTCTGTACCATATCCTCAAATAATATTATTAGCTACAGGAAAATATTAATTTATAAAGGAAACATCTTTTTTTCTGATCCTGTTACTTTGGAAGTTATTGTGCAGAACAAAGTACACTCACTGTACAGTACATGTAAATTATATCCTCATAACTACAATACATGATGGCATTTACCACAGCTTCAACTTCCTTTAGTAACTGAATGATGTAAACAAAATACCAAAACCCCAACACTTTTAAAAAGTTGTAATCAAATTTAAAAAAAAAAACAAAACAAAACAAACAAACCAAAAAAAAAAACCAACCCCAAAAAACCCAGCCTGGCAGTTTAATGAGACGTTAAGCTGCTTGATATTCATCTTTGGTACAATTTATTAATTTAAGGACTACCATTTTCCTATGTTTTCCCATACACAGCATCTTTCTGTTTACAGGAATTTTATCTATGGGGCATTTAAGGATACATGGCTTTGGTTTGGGGTTTTCAGATAAATTACAAAGCACAGGGGCAGGTTGTATTTGGGATGTGACATATTTGCTTTGCATGCAGAGGCCACTCTCCACCACATCTGCTGCAAAGTTGAAGATTTCTGTTTCCTCTACATCCCCATGAGTTTCTGTCCAGGCAATCCCCAGCAGATACATACCAGCAAATCTACATCCTCTCAGAGAGACCAATAAAACACTCTGACTAAGCCACACTGTTGGAGGCTCCATGTCTTGGGGAGACAAACAGGCAGTGTTACACTCTAAAGATAATTTTTGTTGGAAATCCTTACAGCTGTATAAAACCCAACTCTGTTAAGTCTGAAGGGTATGGAGAACCAAGAATGTTTTTCTAGTGTCTTTTCCTACCCCTCCTCCTCCACCTTCCCATAGTCAACCAAGCACACACAGAGGGGAAAAAAACACACACTGAGATTTTCTTCACGTTAAGCCTCCCAGCATTGCTAGCTCTTACTAAGGAGATGTCATGTAACCTTAACATCTCAGGTGCCCACAGAAGTTGTTTTAATTGCAGTTCGATGCTTTTGGTGACACAAATGCTTTAAAAAAAGTTCAAGTGAACCTCTTGTAGCCTACAAATGCTGGACACAATCAATTAAGACTTCTAGCACATTTTATACTTCTAGCACGCAGAAGGAGTCTGAGTTTAGATACCATGCAAACCATGCAAAATGGATTGAGGAAATAAAAAACAGGCCATCAAGAGCATGTAAAACTTTGCATTGCTCATCAGAAGGAGACTCGGTTAGCAGATTGAGAAAATGCCTCTCAAATTAATCTCCTTAGCATGTTGTAGAAAATTGCAAAATAAAAAATGAAAGAGAAATTTTGAATAAAATTATCCATCAGTCTAACAAAAATTCCTTTACTAATCAAAACTTAGCAGGTTGACAAAACTAGGAATTACACTTTTAAATAACAGATTCTTTATTCAAGTGCTCACCTGAAAGATTAAAGCCCCTTCTTCCTACTGGCATTATTTCTGCACTGGCTGGAAGAAGCAGATGATACCCACACCCCTATAACTAATTTACTACCAGCAGGGCAGATCAGTCATCCAGCATGTGGTTTTAAAAGCTGGGGTGTATTGACAGAAGCCAGCATTAGCCTAGGGAGGTTAATCATCTTAAGCTTACTGAGTGGTCAATGGACAGACGCAGCCTCCCTCACAGAGAAACCTGGAGTGGCTAAATTAGGTTCCTGCTTTAAACTACTCTCTACAGGTAGCTATTTTTTCCTTCTATTGAGTGAAATGACTCCCCTCAGTAAGCCAGAAACATCCTTCAGGCCACAGAGACTTTCCCCCTTTGGACTGGAATACACTGTATTTACACACTAGAAGATGCATTTGCTATTTTCCCCATCAGCAGTTATTTTAGGACATGAAACCCTTTTTCCTTTCTCCGTCATTTGTTCTCTCACCCCCCAACTTAACACTGGTTCCTCAGACCATTGCAAGAAACAGAAAGTCTGGTCACTGCTTTTAAAATACAGCATTTATATCAACAAGTACAGAGAAGTACTTTTCCTTACCACTTTGCTATTCTTGAAATGTTGATATTGCATTTACTGTCTGAAGTAAAATTCTATTGTAGTATATTATATGAGATGTGGCAATAAAGTACATACAAGAACCATTAAAGTAAATACATTTAATCATAATCCCAGCCCTCTAACCTGCAAGCCTCCTCATCCTACCAAACCAGCCATATGAACTGTCTCCTTCTCCGTGCCAGGACAAGGGTCCATGCAGCAGTGAACTGAGCCAGGCTGGGAAGTGGATTTGGATGAAAAGTAACCCAGGAGAAGAGGAGAAACTGAGCAACACGAAAATGGTCAAATTTAGCTCGGTAATCAATTATCACGATACTGGCAACACCAAGAGACAGACACATTGGCACGTGGGACAGGGCTGGAACACTTTGGTGAAGGTGTGAATCTACACCAGTTTACACAGGCTGTGAAAGCACAGCCTTAGGGAAGTCCCTGAAAGACGGGTAGTGGCAAGGAAGCAGACTCCCTTACAGCCAGGCACCGAGAGGTATTCTCCACAGAGGCACTATCAGCTCCTGTAACAGAATCACAGGACTGTCTAGGTCGGAAAAGACCTTGAAGATCATCCAGTCCAACCATTAACCCAACACTGACAGTTCCCAACTACGCCATATCCCTCAGTGCTAAGTCGACCCGACTCTTAAACCCCACCTCCAGGGATGGGGACTCCACCACCTCCCTGGGCAGCCCATTCCAATGCCTAACAACCCATTATGGAAAGAAAGGCTTCCTAAGATCTAGTCTAAACTTGCCCTGGCACAACATGAGCCCATTCCCTCTTGTCCTATCACTTATTACTTGGTTAAAGACACTCATCCCCAACTCTATGCAACCTCCCTTCAGGCAGCTGTAGAGGGCGATGAGGTCTCCCCTCAGCCTCCTCTTCTCTAGACTAAACACCCCCAGTTCCCTCAGCCTGTCCTCATACGATCTGTGCTCCAGACCCTGCACCAGCTCCGTTGCCCTTCTCTGGACACCCTCGAGTCATTCAATGTCCTTTTTGTAGTGAGGGGCCCAAAACTGAACACAGGAATTGAGGTGCGGCCTCACCAGAGCCGAGTACAGGGGCAAGATCCCTTCCCTGTCCCTGCTGGCCACGCTATTGCTAACACAAGCCAGGATGCCATTGGCCTTCTTGGCCCCCTGGGCACACTGCTGGCTCCTGTTCAGCCGGCTGTCAATCAACACCCCAGGTCCCTCTCTGACTGGCAGCTCTCCAGCCACTCCTCCCCAAGCCTGTAGCGCTGCTGGGGGTTGTTGTGGCCCAAAGGGAGCCCCTGGCATTTGGCCTTATGGAAACTGAGTTGGCCTCAGCCCATGGCTCCAGCCTGTCCAGGTCTCTCTGCAGAGCCTCCCTACCCTCGAGCAGATCAACACTCCTACCCAGCTTGGTGTCATCTGCAAACTGACTGAGGGTGCACTCGATCCCCTCGTCCCGATCATCAATAAAGATGTTAAATAGGATGTCAACTCCAGCACAGCTGTGGATGGGGTTATACAGAGAAAAAAAAAAAAAAAAAGATTCCTTATAGTTGTATTACTATTTATTCCATCCTTTTCATTCACTGACATTGCTGTGTCAATATGAGCGGCTTTAAACCGATACACCAGTTTCACCATTACAATGATTGAACTGTGTTAAGCACATCTTGGATCAGAAACACTTTAACATTTCCATATACATAAAGCCAAGAAAGTCAAAGCTTGAATAAAAAGAAGAATCACCCACAGTCACTCCTTTTTGATGTCAATTCTTCCCAGCACATATCTGAGCAAATGAAGAAAAGACAGTCTTGCATAAAACACTAACGCATCCTGGATCCCACAATTTCATGTATACTTATTCCTTCAGTGCAGCCTAAAATAAAATGCACTTTTTTATTGTATTGCATATGATCAGTCACTACTCCTATCAGAAAAGAAACTTCCTGTAGCTATAAATCAAGCACCTATGTGTCTGTCTAGTGTAGAACAAGAAGCTTTTTCTTTAAGAGGTGCAAAACATTGAATATTGTGTCATCCTGCAGAAGTCAAAAAGATTACAAGGATTTACAAGCATATCTGACTGATGCTGCATTGCAAAGAAGGAGGCAGAAAGAAATTGAAGTGACTTTACCGCGTGGCATGAAATTTACTCAAAATTTAGCTCATAATAAGAATAAAGTCAAATTTGGTAACAAGTAATGGCCAGGAGATACTGGGTTTTAATCAAACAAATACAGAGAAAGCTAGGGCAGAAGTCACATGTGGGATTTCATTAAAGACCCCAACATTTCTTCAGTCCCCTGACAGACTTTTTCTAATCTCACATCACTTCATTACTCATACATTTAGGATTCAGTCCAAGATTAAGTGTCTCTTTATGGGACAGCATTCATAGCAGGTTTCAAATCAGAAAGATCTGTAACTACATCCTGTCTTTCCACAAATGTAGTTGTGTATTTCTCTTGCCAGTCATGAATACACCAGCAATTAAGATAATGAATACATAATGCTCATGTACTTAAGACTCACAGACAAACCGGCACTTAAGACTAGCTCTGCACGAGGATCTGCATGTGGCAACTCACCCTTGCCACACTGAATACATTTTGACTCACTGGTTCTGATAAATATCACTATAAATGAACAAAGAACAGCACTCTAAATCCACTTACAAATAGCAAATCATTTCCACATTTTAAATGTGCTGTAACACTCAACCAATGGATCAGGAATGATG